ATTAAAATGGGGGCTCATGGTCCTGCAGGCTGTACAAGCACAGTGCCAGCATCTGTTCAGCTTCTGGTGAGGCCTCAGGAGGCTTAGTCATGGCAGAGGGCAAAGCAGGAGCCTGTGTATCACATGCAAGAGAGGGGGAGGAGGTACCAGGTTCTTTTAAACAACCAACTCTTCAAGTGAATTCATTACCACATGGAGGGCACCAAGCCATTAATGAGGGACCCACCACCATGATCCAAACACCTCCCAACATTCCCCACCTCCAACACTGGGGATAACATTTCAACATGAGATTTGGAGGGAGGGGACAAATGTCCAAACCATATCACTTTCTCAACCACCAGACTACATAATCTTCTTAAAACAAGACTGTATCTTCTTAACTTTTGTATCCCATTTCCCAGGCTAGTGGCTGGCACAGAGGAATTATGAAGTTATTTACGAGATCCCAAAGTATAATCTACAAACTTCTGAGGGAGTCCTGATAGTCTTTCAGGTGGTGTGCAACGTCAAAACTATTTTCATAACGATAAAATATTATATGTCATTTTTGCTATATTGACATTTGTACTAAAAGTGCAAAATCTTTGACACTTTAGGAAATCAGGCTGGGTGCGGTGGCTCATGCCTGTAATCCCAGCACTTTGGGAGGCTGAGGCGGGTGGATCACTGAGGTCAGGAGTTCGAGACCAGCCTGGCCAACATGGTGAAACCTCACCTGTACTAAAAATACAAAAATTAGCTGGGCATGGTGGCAGGCGACTATAATCTCAGTAACTCAGGAGGCGGAGGCAGGAGAATAGCTTGAACCCAGGAGACAGAGGTTGTAGTGAGCCAAGATCATGCCACTGCCTTCTACCCTGGGCGACAGAGCGAGCATCTGCCTCCAAAACAAAAAACAAAAAGTTATATTAGTTTTCCATTGCTGCTATAATAAATCACCACAAATTTATTGGCATAAAAACACAAAATTGTTATCTTACAGTTTTCTAGGTCAGAAATCTGAAACAGGTCTCACAAAGCTAAGATCAAGTGGTAAGCGGAGCTTCATTCCTTTTTGGAGATTCTGGGGATAAATCATTGTTTCTTTTGCATGTTCGAGCTTTAGAGGCTGCCCTCATTCCTTGACTTGTGGCCCACTTCCTCCATTTTCTAGCTAGCTAAGTGGGTTGTCTTTTTCCCATTGCATTATTCAGAATTCTTTTTCACCTCCCTCTTCCACTTTTGAGAACCCTTGTAATTACATTGAGACCACTTGGATAATCCATGATAATCTCACTATATTAAGGTAAACTGATTAGCAACCTTAATTCCATTTGTAACCTTAATTCCCCTTGGCCATGTAACATAACATAGTCACAGGTTCTATAGATTAGGATGTGGTATCTCATGGAGGCCATTATCCTGCCTACCACAGTACTCATTATATTTTTTTCACTGTTACACACTCAGAATAGTGCCAGGTTTGCTTATGTCTTTGATAGGAAGTAAAAATTACTACTTCTTTATTTATTTATTTATTTATTTATTGAGACAGAGTCTCACTCTGTTGCCCAGGAGGGAGTGAGTGCAGTGTTGCAATCTCTGCTCACGGCAACCTCTACCTCCCAAGTTCAAGTAATTCTCATGCCTCAGCCTCCCAAGTAACTGGGATTACAGGTGCATGCCACCACACCTGGCTAATTTGTGTGTGTGTGTGTGTGTGTGTGTGTGTGTATATATAATTTTTTTTTTGTAGAGATGGGGCTTCGCCATGTTGGCTAGGCTGGTCTTGAACTCTTGACCTCAAGTGATCTACACACCTCTGCCTCCCAAAGTGCTGAGATTACAGGCCTGAGCCACTGTACCAGGCCAAAAATTACTATTAATACTTTTATTAACCTTTGTATACACTACATATTTTCTCAAAATTAATCAAATTGGGTGGAACTTCAATGAAAACATCAGACCATATTTGTTGTCAATGATAAAATTTGAGCTTTCCAAGCAAAAATTAGAAATTTTGGAAAATTTGTATACTGTCAGATGGACAGTTTTCCAATACTATAAGATTCTTCTGATGAGACTACTGGTGATATTAACTAATGGGAATTTTTAACATTGTATAATGAAATTTATTAAGATTTAGAAAATCAGCATACCTCAATGAATCAATATTTTCCAAAAGGCTGGTACATTATATAACAGAATCATCTATTTGTAAAGGATTTATTCAAAGTACAAAATAGACCAAGGGATTTTAATGTAATAGTGTGCCCAAAATAAACTGATATGATTTCAGATTCTATATTGCAACTAAATTTTAATAAAATTCCACTTGTTAAATTTTGGTGATCAAAGAAGAATATTCACAATTATCTGAAAAGGCCATTTAAATAACTCCCTTCTTTTCCAACTACATACATGTATAAGGTTAGATTTTGCTTATTCTTCAACCAAAACAATATTTCACCAAAGACTGAATGCAGAAGCAGATCTGAAATTCAGCTCTCTTTTATTAAGCCAGACATTGAAGAGACATTGCAAAATATAAAACAATACCACTCTTCCACTAAAATTTGTTTTGAAAAATATAGCTTTCTTTAAAGCTGTTTATGTTAATATGTAGTGGTTTGTTGAAATAAGTATTTTCAAAAATATTTCATTTTAATTTATAATACAAAAAATATAAGTAAATATAATTACGTAAATAAAAACTCGCTGAGGTCTTCAGTAATTTTTAAGAGTACAAAAGACTACTGAGACCAAAAGTTTGAGAACTGCTGAGTTAGACAAATGAGAAAGCCTTAGAAAGGTAATTACCAAGTAAAGTTAATCAAAAGAATAAGCACTGGCAGCACTAAAGGATACCAGAGTACAGAAAGCAACACAGAAACAGAGCCTACGGGAGGCTGAGGCAGGAGTGGGAGGCCGAGGCAGAAGTGGGAGGCCGAGGCAGGAGAATCGCTTGAACCTGGGAGGAGGAGATTGCAGTTAGCCAAGATTGCACCACTGCACTCCAGCCTGGGCAACAGAGCCAGACTCCATCTCAAAAACGAAAAAAAAAGTAAAAAAAAGAAAGCAACACAGAAACAGAGCCTAGACGGTCCCCATTTACAACCAGCTCCACTCCTAAATTCCTTCCCAGTGAAAGCTCTTAACAGCAGAGGACAGACTGGATCACCTTGGAAGAACTGAACTGCCATGAGCATTTCTGATGGCTAGCATGAATATATGCTAGAGAAGGAAAGAATGATATATCTGAAAAAATGTAAAGGAATACATTGTTACATGATTATACACAAAACTTGCATTTTTTAAATGAAAAATATTTGATGAGCTGAAGTTTGAAAAGTCAAGGAAGATGGGTAAAGAAATGTCACAATGGCTGGGCGTGGTGCCTCACACTTGCAATCTCAGCACTTTGGGAGGCCAAGGCAAGTGGATCACTTAAGGTCAGGAGTTCGAGACCAGTCTGGCCAACATGGTGAAACCCCGTCTCTACTAAAAATACAAAAATTAGCTGGGCATGGTGGCGCATGCCTGTAATCCCAGCTACTCGGGAGGCTGAGACACGAGAATTGCTTGAACCTGGGAGGCGAAGGTTGCAGTGAGCCGAGATTGTGCCATTGCACTCCAACCTTCTAGCCTGGGTGACAGAGCAAGACTGTCTCACAAAAAAAAAAAAAAAAAAAAGTCATGACATAGGGCTAGGTGCAGGGGCTCACACCTGTAATCCTAGCACTTTGGGAGGTTGAGGAAGGTGGATTGCCTGAGCTCAGTGTTCAAGACCAGCCTGGGCAACATGGTGAAACCCCATCTCTACTAAAATACAAAAAAAATTAGCTGGGCGTGGCGGCATGTGCCTGTAGTCCCAGCTACTCGGGAGGCTGAGACAGAAGAATTGCTTGAACCTGGGAGGAGGCGGTTGCAGTGAGCCGAGATAGTTCCACTGCACTACAGTCTGGGTGACAGAGTGAGACTCCATCTCCAAAAAAATAAAAAATAAAAAAGATTAAAAAAAAAAAGTTATGACACAATGAAGCACAAAATATTCGTCTGTATTACAAAAATTCAGACCTCCTCAGTATAATGCTCTTCAAAATGAGTTCCTATCACTGCTCAGTTTAAACTCTAAAGTGTTGAATTAGCTGTGCTCCCTGGAAGGAAAAATGGACAGTAAACTGGTAGTGTGGCATAACTGCTGGCTGCTAGAAACAACTGCAGCTGTACAACCTCCCTGATACCCCATGGCTAGGGTCAGGGAAGTGATCTTTTGGGTAAATCTTAGCAAACACATAACAAAAGTAACAGCAAAGCACTACCATATTACTCAACTGGAATAACTATATGCCCTACTAAGTAGAGCAAACAAGACCTTTTCCAGGAAGCATGATAAAAAGAAAAAGCCCTAAATTTAGATTCTTAAGACCTAGCCTCTGGTTCAAGTCACATGTTTCCTGAGTTATCCATTATGTTAAATTGCCTCTTTAATCTTTATTTCCTCGTGTATAATAGTTAATCTAAATTAGTTGTTTTCTAATTCAGCTGTGTTTCCCAGTAACAAATACATTTTATATCCCCAATCCTGAAACCACATGTATCTGAAACAAAAAGACAGGCTATGACTCACCAAATTGATGGCTTATAACCTGCCATTTGAAAAGCACTGAAATTATGGATCTCTACGTTTACTTATTAAAAACAACAAAAAGGTGGTGGGGGTTGGGGGGAAGGATCCTATGAAACTATATTTTTACCTTTGTGGCTACAGAGGTATCTTTGGTAAAGAGGCAAATAGACATTTAAGTGTTAGGCTAATATTCGAACCATGAATCCCAAAATACGGGGATTACAGGCATGAGGCCGGGCGTGGTACCTCATGCCTATAATCCCAGCACTTTGGGAGGCCAAGGCAGGGTGACTGCTTCAGTACAAGAGTTCGAGACCTGGTTGGGCAACACAGCGAGAACCTGTCTCCACAAAAAAAATAAAAAATTTTTTTACATAGTAGCGCACACCTGTAGCCCCAGCTACTTGGGAGGCCAAGGTGGGAGGATCCCTTGGGCCCAGGAATTCAAGGTTGCAGTGAGCTGTGATGTACCACTGTATTCCAGGCTGGGTGACAGAGTGAGACCCTGTCTCAGAAAAAAAAAAAAATTTTACATTATATTTAATTGGCTACCTGAATTTAGAAATTTAGACAACAGTGTGTGTTTAACCACGTGATGCCAAAAATCAGTTGCTTAGCTAATGTTTGCATTTCTAAACTGTTATTGGGAACAGATGTTTTGATTCCTAACTGTTCTGGCTAACAAAACTGTATTCTAAAATGTAAGAAGATAATGTAAGCACATATGACTCAAATGTTAGTACCAATGTCTGGCAGTAGGGATTATACTTTTCTTGAGGGCAGGAGGGGGTGGAACAGGCAGTAAAATTCAAGATTTGAAATTCAAATATATTTGTAAGTTTTAGCATATGACAACTATTGATCATTTTTACTAATATCTAACATTGAATACTGTGGCAACATGGGATTCCTCTAATATATGACTTCGGCTTTTGAACTCTGCACTGGCCTAGTTGAAGCTTTCTTAGAACAGTGCAGCACTTTGTATTCTTACTCAACTCTTCTTCCTTCCTTCCTTCTCTTCTTTTTAGGCTGTCAGACGTGCATTGAGGCCTAAAGGCATTTCTTTCCTACTCCCGCTTCCTCTCCTTTATTCTTCACAAGCAGTTTCCCCAATAAACATCTTGTACATCTAATCTCCTCTTGGCATCTGTTTCGAGGGGAATTTGAACAAATAAAGTGCCTTACTATACCAGGCACCAATATTAAACTCTATGCATGCATTGTTTTATTTAATCTTCACGAAAGGCCTATGAAGACATCGTTATTCCCATTTTACAAATAATGAAACAGTAGAAAAGTAACTTTCTGTCATACAACTAGTGACAGAGTTGGGATTCGAATCCAAGTCTGTTTGACTTCATAGTTGGAGCCACAGACCTTATTTTAAAACAGTGAGTTTATTAAAAATAAAAAACAATACTACAGACCCTTGATAACTTTTTTCTGATGCCTGTGTACTTACACACATTATTACATTTAATCCTAGTAAACCCATAAAGTTGACAGTATTACCACTTTACAGATGAAGAAACTGTGGCTCAGAGAATTTAAGTAACTTCTTCAAGGCTATCATTATATGTTCATTAGTTTAAGCTCAACTCCAGATCCTCTCTGAATTCAGTTGTTTATATTATACTGCATTGCCTAATTAGTCAAAATGACATTGTATCATTTTGAGCTTTTATATTTGTTAAAACTTTTTATACGGAATGTATGTATTTCAAGGGATGCACTAAAGTTTGACCTTGTCCTCTGTATTTTTTTTGAGAGAATCTTTCACTCTGTCACCCAGGTTGGAGTGCAGTGACATGATCTCAGTTCACTGCAACATCTGTCCCCCGGGTTAAAGTGATTCTCTTGCCTCGGACTCCAGGAGTAGCTGGGATTACCGGTGCCCACCACCCACACCCAGCTAATTTTTGTATTTTTTTGGTAGAGATGGTGTTTTACCATGCAGATCAGGCTGGTCTTGGACTCCTTGTCTCAAGAGATCCGCCCGCATTGGCCTCCCAAAGTGCTGGGGTTACAGGCATGAGCCACTGTGCCGGCCAACCTTGTCTTCTGTATTTTAACAAAGTCTGCATTTGGCCTTAGTGTTGGCTTTTAGAAAGTAAATAGTCAAAAAGGCCAGGTGCAGTACCTGTCACAAAAGTACTCAATCTAGGGAGGTGAGTAGGGGCTGAATCCAGCCCATACTTTGGTGGCCCAGCCATGTGTCCTTGCAGGGCTGTTGCCACAGAGAAAACGGTGCCTTTTTCCAATCCTTACAAAAGTACCATCAATTATCCCCTTTATCATTTTTTATTGGGTCTATTTGATGCTTCTGTCTTTTCTTCTTATTAGTCTTGCTAGCGGTCTATCAATTTTGTCCTTTGTAGGGACATGGATGAAGCTGGAAACCATCATTCTCAGCAAACTATCGCAAGGACAAAAAACCAAACACCTCCTGTTCTCACTCATAGGTGGGAATTGAACAATGAGAACACTTGGACACAGGATGGGGAACATCACACACCGGGGCCTGTCGTGGGGTCGGGGGAGCAGGGAGGGATAGCATTAGGAGATATATCTAATGTAAATGAGTTAATGGGTACAGCACACCAACATGGCACATGTATACATATGTAACAAACCTGCACATAGTGCACAGGTACAGAAAAAAAAAGTACCATCAGTTACACACTATATATCCAAGAGTTACGGATCCTCCAGAAGGGGGTGCCCTTTTCTAATCACCAAGGTGCTATAAGGGCTAACTGTGAATCAAGAGGACAACAAGGTGAGAGGGCGGCTAATGCCTCATTATATACCCTTTCATACCTCATTAATTTTGCACCAAGTTTAAATTAAAAATATGACTGATATGGTAATACATGTAGTATTATATGTGTTCATAACCCGTGGGTCACCATTTCTCCTTCTACAATTTGTAATAAGAAAATAGATATGAATATGTCTAAATATTTTACTATAAAAATCTTCATTGTACTATTACTTAACAGAAAGAAGTCAGTTTAAAAGTTTTTACATATTTATAAAATTGAATAGCATGCAGGCCCTAAATATTATTTTATAGAAGCAAATTTACTGACATGGGAAAATTCACGGCGTAGCACATTGAAAAAAGCAGGTCACAAGACAATATAGATAGTATTATTTCATTTTTATTTTAAAAGCACATATATGCAAATCTGTAATAATACAGAGAAAAATCATAAGTTATTTCTGAGTGGTGGGATCATGAGCCACTCTTCCTTTTTCTTTCCTTTTTGGCATATTTGTAACACTCTAATATTTCTGTAACAAATGGGCATTTTTCCATAACAAAGAAAACAAACGTCAACTCCATTCTCCGCCCCATCCTAGTTATACACACAGATTGCTTATTGTTAAATGCCTAACATCTTTAACTTGCCCACAGTTATCTACAGCTTGTCCTAAGCTCAGCTTTTTACCTTAGCTTTATTACCAGCCTTCATCCATCTTACATATCCAAAGTGACCTAGGTACTATTTCTGTTTTCTGACACCTTTGCATCTTCCAGTAGAACACTTCTCCCTCTTGTTCCCCTGCCAAAATCCTTACCATCCTATAGGGCACAAACTCAATATTACCTTTTTTATGAGGTCTTTCCTCATCTGACCTCCTGGAAAAAAAAAAAAAAAACTCTTTTCTTTGCATTCCCATCATGCTTTGTGTTCAATGATGTATGTGAATTGCCCCACATACAATTATTTTTGTATATAACTTTATCTCTCCTAGTAGACTCTAAGTGAAAAAATTCTTCACCTTTGTCTAATTTATAAAGCATTTTTATATCCACTAATCTTTTATCCTTGCAAGACTGAGCAAGAAAAAGAATCAATATTTATTTAATAGCAGTTGTGTATCAGACATGTTTGAGGCTTTATATGTCAACTCACTTAACCCTCACAGCAATCCTATGGATCCATTTTACATATGAAAACATAAGCTCACAAAGGTTCAGTGACTTAGTAGCGTCATAGCTGGTTTTAAAAAAAAAAAAAAAAAAAAAAAATTACTGTGATTTTTTTAACTCTATTCTTCCTATTGCAACAACATGATTCTGTGTCCACCATTGCGGAAGACGTGAACACATATAAAAGCTCATATGAAACACATCAAAATTGATGAGGGTCTTCTGGCACACTAGAACTGCTATATTCAGATAATACTTGGGAGTCAACTAAAGTCAGAGGATTTTTGAGGTAGGAGGGACCTTATAGATAATCTAATCCATCAAACTCCTGTATGTTATAGATGAGAAACAAGATACCCAGAGAAATAAATTTGCTTTTGCACACATTTAGCAGCTGATCCAGGATTAAAAATTCAACTGGAGGCTGTATAGCAAAGTGGTTAAGATGATCACTTTTGGGGTCACAGGCCTTCATCCAAATCATAGCTGTGTTTAATGACTATGTGTAACCTAGGACAATTTACAAAGCTTATATTTGCCTCAGTTTTCGTATCTGTAAAAGGAGGGTAATACTTACCTATTGTGCTGTGAGGAGTAATTTAACACTGAATAGCAGCGAATAAACACAGAAAAAATATTAGATATTTTTCTCATCTCCTGTCTCACAGTCCAGTCATCTTTACAGAACAGCACATTGCCTTTTATGAATGAGTGTGGAGTGGACACTGTATTTCAGGGTCAAGGTGAGTAACAATAAATATTTATTTATGTGGTAAATCCTTTAAAAAAATGTACAAATACTTCTCAGTGGATAAATAACATTTCAAAAAGGAATCATTCATTCAATAAATGTTTATTTTTTATTTTTTAGAGACAGGATCTTACTCTGTTGTGCAGATTAGAGTGCAGTAGTGTGATCATAGTTCACTGTAAGCTATGTTTATTTATTAGAGGAAGTATAGAACACAGTAAAAAGAGCCAAAATTTAGAGGACCTGGATTCAAATCCTCATGCCTTAGCCTCCCAAAGTATTGGGATTACAGTCATGAGTCATGGTTCCTGACTTATTTATTGAGCTTCTATTACACGCCAGGCACAGTGCTAGATGCTGGGTATGAGATGATGAATAAAACAGACATAATCTCAACCTTCATAAGCACTGAAATTTGATAGCAAAATATCCCTGAGATCTGCCTATGGGATCTGTCTACAAGTCAATGCAAAGATCTGCCTACAAGTCAATGCAATGTAATCAAATACACATTAGTATTTGAGGCTAGCTATACCTATATAGTTGTAAAACAGGATATTCTTTAGAATTAAGTTCTATGTCATTTCTAGTATCAGTCATTTCAACTAAATTTTTATAAATTCTCTGAAAATTAGGCTATTTCTATTTCTCTAAATAGAATAGGGTATTGGGATGGGCAGGTTTAATTAAGCATATTCCCTGAAACTATGTGATAATCCCCATCTGTTTGAGGATTGTGTGAGTAGAACAGCACAGTTTTGCTAATAATTCCTTATAAATCATTACAGAGTTCAATTTTATGAATTTGTGCTCATTTACTCATTTTCTCTCCCTACACACACACATACAAAAAAAAAATATACATGTATACAAATGTGTGTGTGAAAAGCTGCCTAAAGAGATAGTTAGCTGATACTGTGGACTCAGAGTCACCAACATGCTTGCTGATGGTCTCCAGATCTTCTGTATTTGCCCCACGTGTTATGACAATGTACAGTATAGGCATTTGTTTGAATTAGGATAATAAAACTGGCCAAGGATAAAGGCAGTAAAGAAACTGCATTATTTACATGTCAAAATTACCTTATGGTGATGAACACATCCCTGAAGTCCCTTTTATCCTCAAGTTTTGCTATCCACTTGATTTCTGAATGTGACATACTATCTATCCATTTTTACCTGGGAGTGAAAATAATGATACTATTATGTTTACTTATAAAGGTATACAGCACAGTTTAGAGCCAAAATGTAGAGTCAGGTAGACTGGATTCAAATTTTAATTGTGCCATTTAATTGTATAATTTATGGAAAATCACAACCTCTTTGAGTCTCAGTATAAAAGGTGTTGCAAAATAGAAATAATACAATTTTTGTGATTTTGTTAAGCATTAAATAAAATAATAAATGTAAAGTGCCTGGCAGACAGTATCTACTCTGGGTATTAATGATTGGCTACATTCAAGAACAATTAATAGAAATAAATCACTGCCTCTAAAAACTAGTTGCTGTACAGATAAAATATACAGTATCCCTGAAGTAATTTATAATACTTTCAACTGGAGAAATAAACAAAAAATACAAGATTCAACAAAATGTCAAAATTGGGATTAATGGGGAGATTATAAGTTTGTTGAATTATTAACCAACAGGGTTAGAAAATCAATGTGCTATCCTAAATATGGTTTGGCTGCATTATTCTCAAAAGGTAAGAAGGCACTGGCCTGGTGTAACAGGGGCCTTGAATTGAACATACTGCATTTTTCTTTATGGGTATGCTCCGATAAAGAAAATGTTTTTATGCAATACATAAAGAAAAATGCAATAGTACCTACAACTCTTTTGGGAACTGACTGTTTTGAAAAAAATAACAGTTGCCTTTTACGGGGGGTTGGTGGGGAGGTAATTATTTAAACACAAGGTGGCAAGTGAAAACTACTTACCTAAGAAATTGCATTACTTAAGAGAAGTCGCCAAGGTTCACTACATCACATCTTTCAAATCTTAAATGAGCACCTTTCCTCACATTATCCCTTTGTCGGAAGCGATTTCTCTTTACAACTATTCTGGCTACCTCAGACCTCCATCCACAATTCTCCTGAATCCTTCATTATCGACAAAGCCTGGGGCAGAGCGCAAGCATTCCTTTCTGAAAGCGCACCTACTTACAGATCACTGTTTTCCAAAAATGCATCTAATGCCCAAGCATGAAATTACAGGCTTGTTCTCTCACGTCTCAGCCAGGAAAACAAAGACCGTTCTTCTCACCCAATTCAAATGGCGGGAGGAACCTTCAATTAATTCTAAATCAGGAAGGAACCTCCCCATCTCACTTCCCAAATGTTTGTAAAAGATGTCTTCTTCAGCCAACTTCCTGCCTTCCAGGCACGGCACCCCAGAACTACGGAAACAGTACTCAGGAATCGAGAGTGGCCAAACGCTGCTAATGGGAGATAGGACACTCGTTGATCATGGGCAGAGAAACTCGGCACAACGCCGAGGCACGGTACACGGTGTCTTCGGCCTCGCCCAGGGACACTTGGTGACCCGAGGTCGAGTTCCAAGTTGGAGACAGATTTTGCGAGTGGATGAGACGGTAAGCCGGGATCCCAGGGCCTTCTCCAGCTGCACTGGGTGTCAAGCGACACGGGGTTGGATGGGGACTCCTTCTGGTTCAACCCTCGCCCACTCACTTCTCCGGCTGGCCAAAATGCTGCACAGAGCCCCGGCCAGCCATTAATATCAGACCCAGCAGAAAACCTAGTAAAATCACTTACCAGTCTTCCACCTCCGGTGCTGATCTAGCAGGAGCCTGACTCGCTGGCCAGACTCAAGCTCGGCACCAGATATTACCACCCTGGCGACGGCTCCAGAGCGTCACTGACAACCACCCGGAAATGTTACTATCGCTTCCGGGGCTGCCTAGCGCGCGGCGGGAAATTATTTCCCAGAGCCCGGATTAGTGAAGCAGTTGAGTGCTGCAGCGGCAGTCGTCGCCCCTGCCGCCGCCGCCGCCGCCGCCGCCGCCGCCGCCGCCACCGAAGGAAGCATCCCAGACACTTCGGCCGGGAAGGTAAAGGGGCTCAGCTAGGAAGACACAGTGTATTCTGTCTCTATGGGGATGTTTCCTCCCCGGGCTGTACCTCCGAAGTTTCTGCCTACCGGCTGCGAGGCTAGGAAGGGAGCGGCTGGGGTGAGCGGCAGCGGTGTCCGGCGGCTCTTGCGCTTTCTAGCCGCAGTTCTTCCGACTTCGCTCTCGGCGCCAGAATTGGTGGGCTGCGGCTGCAGACCCCGCGACGCCTCGCCCGTGCCGCTGCGGGGACTGCCACCGAGCGCCTGTCTGCAATACTGGGCTGAGCCGCTTCCCCCGCTCCTGCTTGCGCAGCTCTGCAGCTCGGCCCGCAGCCTGGAAGGCAGTAGGCCCCCCGCGTCTCTCGTTTCCATAGAACCCATGGGGACGCCTCATCCTGATACAGAGTTTTGGCTGCTTTCCATAACTTAGCGTCTGCGAAGGTGGCTGGGATCCCCCAGGCCCACCTTCCTGTGACGAAGAAAATTGTGTCATTCTTTCCTCTCTAGTAGAATTTTTTTAAAAAAATATACTAAAACGGCAGTGATCCTATCTCTGACTGCTATAGGCCTTTAAACACAAACATACACACATACACGTTTCCCTGAAGGGAGGGTCTGTGTTCCTGGGGATTACATTTCAGCTGCCTGATGGCTGGAAACAAGACTAAGTGGCTATTTTAAGATATCTTCCACTTCCAAAGCCTCAGATTAAATATTGACAAAAAAAGAAAAAAATTGGTCCGTCTCGGGTACTTCATATCATTATTTGACTCAGGAGTTAGATGGAGCTTTGTTTTGGAGGCACCAGCCTCTTTTTTGACGAATGACTTTCTTATTTAAAAAATCGTTGTTGTTGAAATACTGAGAATGAATATTTGAACTGAATTTACAATTTATGTGTGACGGACAATGCACCTTGTGGACTTTTTGGTTTATGTTATACCGTTGTGCCTCAATTCCTGAAAATATCTGTGGATGTGCAGGATGTTCTCATTATTGGAAAGTTTGATTACGTCTATTGCAGGTGTTCAATAAGTTGCTAATATGAGGTGGATTTATATAAGAGAGTAAATTTCTTTATTTTCTTGTCCTGTCCTATCCTGTACTGTTTCTTTCCTTTGCTTGCTTGCTTGCTGGCTTGCTTTGACAGAGCCTCGCTCTGTTGCCCAGCCTGGAGTGCAGTGGCGCTATATCAGCTGGCTGCAACCTCCGGCTCCCAGGTTCAAGCAATTCTCCTATCTCAGCCTTCCGAGTAGCTGGTATTACAGGTGTGCGACACCACGCCCGACTAATTTTTTGCATTTTTAATAGAGACAGGATTTCACCATGTTGTCCAGGCTGGTCTTAAACTCCTGACCTCAAGTGATCCGCCCGCCTCGGCCTCCCAAAGTGCTGGGATTACAGGCGTGAGCCACCGGGTAACTCTTGAGTATTCTTAATTTAAAGGAACAGGATGTGCAGATACTTGAATGTTTAAGTCAATTTTATTGTAAAGACAGCTAACCTTCAATACTGCAAATAAACCCCTATTCTGTTTTCTAAATCCAGATTTTATTATGCGTTAAGTAAAATTGAATTACATGACCTAACATTTTCTTGCTTCCCTAAAGCATAAAGCGTGTATCACCTGAAAGTCATTGAAAAGATGATCAAATGTGGTTACTTTTCATAATCAAAATTCGGAACTCTTAAGATTTCATAATAAGCATCCACAATTTCCACTGATGTTCAAAAACATTGCGTTTTGGGAAACCAGTAGTATGGCTTTTATTTATTAGTATTTTCCTTATTATATGTATCTTGATTATATTACCCTAAAGTATGGTTTTCACCATTTAAACATTTTTAAAAAGTAAAATAAAAAATTCTGTGTTGGCTTTGAATAATAAATCCTAAACAAAACGAACTCTCTCAAAAATGTAACTAAAATGAAACATCATCTGTTACTCCTGTAGTTGACCCTTTGAATATGCTAAAAGAAAATACATCTGTATAATGTACTGTGTACTATTTCTGCCCTTATAAGGGCATGTTACTGCTTAAAAGTAAAATAACTCTGGAATTTTTAAGTTCACTTAATTCATACTTTCTGTCAAAATGACTTTGAAATTTAAAACACACTGGTTATTTTTGAGGAGGAAGAAAGGCTTTGTTGTATGAATTACTCTAATGATTGATTGATACCAAATCACTTTTGAGGGGAAAATAATGAAAACTTTCTCATTAGACCAAAAGAGCTCTCTTCAGATTGTTTCTAGAAATGCTTTGAAATTTTAGACACTGTTATTTTACTGAAAATAATTTATAATTATGTTTAAATTTTTTCAATGATATTGGTGTTCTAAATGTCTTCCCACCCTTGTACTGTTTGTTGCATGTAATGTATCTTTCTTTTGTGTTAGCTGAAAGTAGATTGCTTTATGAAATTATAATGTTGTTAAAAGTATTAGGCTAAGTTCTGAAGTTCTTTTCAGCTTAGTGTTGTAGAAAAGGCATATAATTTTTGCAGAAAGACTTATCTGTGCATCTTGTTTTTACCATTTACTAGCTGTGTACCCTTGAAGTAGTTTCTTAATCACTCAGATTTTCCAGTATCCTCATCTGCACAAGAAAAATAAATAGCACTTATGTTGTGAAGAAGGAAATGAGCTAACGTTTATGAAATGTATAAACCACAGTAGGTCCTCAGTAAAAATTGAATCCTGCTTGTTCAACCTTAGACATATGCTCTTCCTAAGTAAACCAAATTTCCTAGGATACCAAAGCACATTTGACTTCTATCCTCTATGGCTAACCAATATCTACTGTCCATCTATTCTTTTTATGAACCTTTCATCTCTTGCCTAGCTTGCTTCCTTAAGGACTCCTTCATCCCTAAGTTAACATCTGCCCAGGCTGTGCCTTGTACAGTATTGGATAGATTGGACATCTCCATATATTCCCCTAAGCTTCTCATTTCTTTCTCACCATATTCACTTTGCTGCTTGTTCTGTTTCTTCCTTCTAGTGCTAAATTTGTCATCAGAGGGACTAATTCCTGCTTCTTTCCCAAATAATGCCATGGAAGTAAGAACAGCCCTCAAGTCTCATCACTGGATACTTCTGTCAAATAATATTTATACATACACACACGTGTGTGTGCATCTCTCTCTCATGTCTTTGAAGGATGGGGCAGGAAATAGACACTGTGTCTTTAAAAAAAAAAAAAAAAAAGTCCGAAGACCAGCTGAGTTACACTAAACCAAGGGCCTAATTTGGCTCCTAGGCCTAAAGGGGCCAGAATTTCTGAACGTCACTTGTAGTTAAAAGCCAAACAGTATTTTACACACATAGTGTAAGTACTGTGACATGTGTCTGCCTTTTGCAATATTGGTTCAAACAGAGATCCAACACTTGGACCCTTTTCAGTTTTAACAGTTATTTGTTTACTTTCCCAGTTAAATGTTTTGAATAAGAGAAATCACGAAAATTTTTCAGACTCTTTAATTCAGAGCAAAAATCTTGACTGCATTCCGTGCTGGGTATATGCTTTTCAGATGAGGGGAGTGTCAAATAATTTTCCTTAGTTTGCTGTAGAAGTAGGTTTAAAATCAAAAGAATTCACCAAAATAACAAACACTAAGAAACCACTAGTTTTCATAATATGACCTTAAAACCATGAAGAGTATTAAGTGGCAGGGAAAAATGATCACGATATAATATTACATAAAAATGAAGATATGAAACAATGTAATATCCAAATTTTTTTATATATATATTTTTACACTCAGATAAAACCTAAAAGTCAACATCCCTCCCCAGTGTTAACAATGGAATTACAGGCTGAAGGAATTAGAGATGATTTTAATCTTTGTGTATACTTTGTAGTATTTTTCAAATTTTCTATAAGCGGATGTTAAAATTGAAAGGTCTGTAAGGTTATTGTGGGGGGAAAATTTTAGTTCTTAAATACAAATATGTATTTATATATATAAATATATAAATCAAAGTTTTTTATTGTCTTAAATATCTATTTTAGCTAATGATACCATAAAATTTATTTCTAAGATTACTTCTCTTTTATAAGTAGGGCTGGTTTCTTTTATAACCAGCCCCATGTAACGTAGAGTAGGGAAAGTTTTATCCTTATTTTCCTTATAAAACCCTATTTATGCATCCCTGCCTCTCATTTTTGTAGCACCTTCCACTTTTTCCCAAGGGTTGTACCCTGCTCTTTCATCTTGCCTCTGAAACCACTTTTGTATTCATATCTGTATTCCTGTCTTTCCTTGTCTCTGAGCTCAATTTTCAACATGTTCTTCAAACATGTTCTAGCTATGTGTTACACTATAAAGAATTCAAAGGACCTAAAAGGCTAGTTTATAATAAATAGTGTTCTTAATTAAGATGAAGAGTTCTATAGGTTTTCTTTGCATTTTGGACTGGCATCAACTACAAAGGAATTTCAGGCATCAAGAATAGGCCCATGTGGGAGATATTTTGGGAAAGTCCATACCACAGAGACAGTTCCTTGCTATGCGTAAAGGCCAACTCTATTTACAGTCATTATCTCCTTAGTTGTATTTTATTGTTCAAGGTAAGTAACTAATTTTTGTTAATTACTATAAGATGTTACAGAAGGACATTTTCTCATAACTAAGAATGTCATATAATTTTAACTTTTTTGACAGTAAAGATAAAACTTTTAACTGTAAAAAGTCATGCTGTCTTTTTTGCTTTTTTTTCCCCTCCATTTTTTGGTGTTAGGACAGTATCTTCTGTATGAA